CCTCCCCCCCCTCCCCCTCCCAATCCCCAACCTACCACACCCTCTCCGACCTCGCTCGCTCAACATCAACCTACCTAATCGGCGGCTCCCTCCCCGAACACGACCCCACCACAAAAAAGTACTACAACACATCCCTTACCTTCTCCCCCTCGGGCTCCCTCCTCGCCACGCACCGAAAAATCCACCTCTTCGACATCTCCCTCCCCACACAGAAATTCCGAGAATCCGACGTCTTATCCCCCGGCCACCAGATCACGCTCATAGACCTGCCAGAATACGGAAAACTAGCAGTAGCAATCTGCTACGACATCCGCTTCCCAGAACTCGCCACCATCGCCGCGCGCCGTGGCTGTTTCGCGCTGGTGTACCCCGGGGCATTCAACACGACGACGGGCCCGCTGCATTGGAAGCTGCAGGGTCAGGCGCGGGCGATGGATAACCAGGTGTATGTCGCGCTGTGCTCGCCGGCGCGCGATGAGACGGCGGGGTATAGGGCGTATGGACATAGTTTGGTGGTGGATCCTATGGCGAGGGTACTAGTAGAAGCTGGGGAGAAGGAGGAGGTGGTGTATGCGGAGTTGAGGGGGGAGGAGATTGAGAGTGCGAGGGGGGGCATTCCGATTAGTACCCAGAGGAGGTTTGATGTTTATCCGGATGTTAGTAAGGGCTTTGAGGAGGGGAAGGAGTAGAGGGGATATTGTAGATGAAAGGACCTAGAGGATAGGTGTTGGGATGTGAAAGGTATCTCTCTGATAGTCATATACCTATCTCTAGATTCACAAACGCATATCACGAATGCTGTGAAATATTGGCAACAACCAGGTGGGTCAATTGATGAATTTCTAAGTCTATCTGGCAATGACTATGTGGAGAATCCGTGACCAAAAATGACCCAGGAAAAGCAATAAACTTTTGTTGCATCAAAGTACCAGATCCATCATGCAAATCTCCACCATCAATATGGTATCCAGAATAAGCAATCAATTCCAGTAACCTTCTTTGGCCATAGCACCAACCCGATACCAGCTGTCAAACCTGCATATTGATGCCTGTTAGGGATAAGGTAAGCGAGCCCCTGAGCCAGGCTGAAATTACCACCAATCGCTGCTAGCGAAGCGACAAAATAAATTGGGATTGACCAACCAAATCATCTCAAGGCAGCTCTAGCAAAATTTGGAAGGACGAAGCTTGCCTTGTGGATAGCGGCATTGTAATAACGGTTGATGGTCTCCTCTTTCTCAGCGGGCCAGGTTCTCAATGGAGTCTTGGTATCTCGGTTGGCATCCTTGCAGCAAACCATGAAGCCGATTTGACCAGATGGGTATGTTGGAATGGTGGTGTATGCGTACTCGACATTAGGGAATACCTCCTTGCAATCCTTCTTCAACTTGGTGATGAGTGGGAGATGAAGCCATTGGTTCTCGGCTGTATAAGTTAGCATGTGTTTCAAATAAATGAAATAAGAGTTGAAAATCAAAACAAGAATAGACGAGAACGCCAAACGCCAACGCCAATGCCAGTGCCCATGCCAACGCCAAAACCTGTCATAAACCCCCCAAAAAGCGATGCCGAAATGCGGGGTAATTGAGGGGTAAAACAACCACCAAAGGAAATATATCTACAACAAAAAAACGACCAAATTCACGCAAATAAAGGAAAACGTACAACCTTGTGTGGTAATGACTCCACCCTCCTTAAGAGCGCCGAAAAGTAGCTCAAAGTAAGGCTTCTGGAACAAACTCTCTGCGGGTCCTTCTGGATCAGATGAGTCGGTGATGATGACATCAAACTCGTTCTTGTACTCCTCCAAGAATTTGAATCCATCTCCAACATGTACCTTGACTCTTGGGTCTTGGAATCCGACTGCCATGCCTGGAAGGTATTGCTTGGAAAGTCGAATAACAGCCTAAATGGATAATGTCAGATATGCATGGCAATCACGAGGAGTCAGCACACACCTCATCGATGTCGCACAGGATAGCCTCCTCAACGCAGTCATGCTTGATGACTTCACGTAGTACTCCTCCATCACCTCCTCCAATGACAAGGACTTTCTTTGGGTCTGGGTGTGAGTTCATGGCCAAATGGGTAATCATCTCCTGGTAAGCAAATTCATCTCGCTCGGTGCATTGAATGACATTGTCCAAAACCAAGACAGTTCCGTAGTCGCTGGATTCGAAGATGAGGACGTCTTGGTATTGGGACTTTTCGTGGTGGATGATGTTGTTGACCTTGAGGGTCATTGCCTGACCGGGCCACATCTCGGAAATCTCGCGGAACCAGCCATCTGAAGAATGTCGTTTGTCAGCGTAACTATTGTGAGAGTGTTGGGAATAAGAAATGCCGGGTAAAGAGGAGGAGTATTATTGGGTATCGGTTGGATCGGCGGGCCATGCGAATGACTGCAGATGGACACCGAATCAGACGATTGATCAGGCCTCGCCCCATGATAGCATGGTGGTGTCTGTCGGTGGCTCAGGTTGGGATGGATGGCAGAACGGCATCTGCAGCGAAGCCGCCGAGCTGACCAAGAGAAAAGAGATTTCGTGCTGGGGGGGAAAGAAGAGGCTTTGCCCGGCGGGCTGGTCGTTTAGACTTACCCTTGATGGTGGGGTGGGCGATTTCTGACATCTTGTTGGAAGTGGTAGTTCTAGTAGTACCTAGAAAATCCGAGTATAAGTATTTTGAGGTGAAAGAGTACCGTGATGCGCAGGGAAAAGTTGGTATGAGACTGGCTGCGTGTCTGACCTGGCGGCGGGTACAGGTGGGGGGTAGAGAGGAGGATCGGTAGAAGAGGGAGGAGAAGGAGAAGAAGCGAGACGTTTTGGAATTGGGAAAATACCTAAGAGTCTCTACGTATTGAGAAAGAGGGAGAGATAGAGAGCGATGGTGATGGTGATGTAATGTTGTTGTAGGTGACAGAAAATGACTGCTGGTGCAGAATATTTTTTTAACTTTTCGATATCCCCGCGCGGGCAAGTACGAGTACTCGTATGCGGCGGCACATTCACCCCGCCAACGGTGGCCGAAGGATGCCAAAAACGCCGTTCGCTCTTGCCCCCATATCTTTTTGGCCACCTGCAAGTTGCTGCCGAGTTTACTTGGAAGGGGCAGCCACGAGGCATGGCTTTTATCGTTTTCATGAAGGGGGTAGAAGGGGGAGGGTTTGAATGGAAAGCATTTAGCCGCTGCATGCATGTATGAGCAGATATGCAGTACTTCCATCTCCCAGCCCGTATTGGGATTCATATGCCTGGTAAATTATATGAGTAGCCCTAGTCCTCCTAACAAGACCAAACTCGAAAGAGACCGAGTCCAACAACTCTCCATTAGAGCCTACAGGAGTACATACTGTACTTGTGCTTAGTACAAGTACATGTCCACTACTGGTAGATGCCAAAGCTCCAGGAGACCGCTGAAACGGCGAAACGGCGGGTCGATCTGCCAAATTTAGGCGACGATCGCTCGGTCTGAAGTATAAAATTAGATAGTAGTGCCGGCCGAGCAACTATGTTACCACCACGCCACGTTCCCGTCAGAGTCGTGACCACGAAGCAGCAGCGTGGCTCTGGATGTGGTGGAGGGTCGATGGCATGGAAGTGTATGGCAGCCCCGGCCTTCCATGGAGCCAGCATCTGGGGCATATATTGAGGTATGGCAGCTACCGCAACCGCTTTTGATTCCCGCGTGGCAAGGCATCGCACCAGCGCACCACACCCAGCTTGGTATGGCTGTACTGGGCTCTACCGTACACCACAGATACCTAGGTGGTACCTGTGGACTCGGTGCAGTATTTACTTTGTCACAATCGCGTGCTGCGTGGGTCAGTCGAGTGTGCTCGAACCCTGGTGTCGCGTGTTTTTCCAGATGCATTCCGGGTATCACGTACGCAAACCAGCCCCTATCAGGAGCAATGGAGTAATGATGGGCAGTGGACCAAAAGGGCACGGAAGCGCTCAAGCCCGCAGCGAGGTCCCAAGAGCGTTACTTTGCTGGTGGCCGGTGCTGGTGGCCGGTGCTGGTGCTGGTGCTGGTGCTTGCAACAAGAAACTTTGAAGAGATCTCTTCAAAATTTTCCCAAGTCCCGTCCAAGCTCCGTACGGGTCGTAGGACCGTCCTTCGTTTGAGGAGGAGAACCCTAGCAACGGATTTTAAGGTTGACGGAGAGAGCAACGCGGAATCGGGACCCTGTACGAGAACCAGTAAGATCTGACTGGCACACTTACTGGTATCTGTCGACCAACCTAGATAGGTAATAGAGCCCTACGGATACATAATCTTACCATTACCAATCCAGTTACTCGAGGGCAGCGGATGCCAATCCACAGTACTTTATTACCTGGTTCTCACATCTCTCACTCACTTCATAGCACGTTGCCAGCCATATATGGTTGGTCACAGGTGGCCGTCGTTGCACGAACCACTCCTTCACTCCCATGCGATGCAGCTCGGTTACACCACCGCGCTCTCGCTCTCACTCATTCTTTAGACTTCAGAGTCAAGCCTTGAGGGCGAGGTGACGAGGTCGAGCTCGAGTACCAAGGCCATACTAGCGCCTGTGTCAGTGTAGCCGGACCTTCTCAGGATAAATAGTAGATGCTGGCCTAGCGAGACTCGTCCTGACCCTTGATAGGCGAGCCTCTTCCTACTGGCAACCTATTTCCTTCCCCTCGCCTGCAGTTGTCTTAGACTTTGCTTGAATGTTTAATGAGAGCACGGTACTGAGTCCTCGATGTCTCTGTTGATGAGTGACATATGGTAGAGATGAGAGACGAGTTGCGAATATCGGGATCGGTAGAGCTTACAGTATAGTATTTGGTGCCACCATCATAGCGTTGCTCGCCCAATCGTAGCATTGCTCTGTCCTTCGTCGTACCATAATAAGCAATAAGCCCTAGCCGGGGGGCGCTACCACTAGTACTTACTGTATGAGTGTATCTACCTCTACCTAGCCCACCTCTGTAGGCTGTATACCTAGGCAGTTGCAGAAATTCGCTCCTTTTGAATAAATCACATCAAACCATCTGAATGTTTGCCATTCCCTGAATCACACCAACCCAACCAACCCAACTCAGGCTACTCAGCAACAATAATCCAGTACGGAGTAATCAGCAGCGGCAGGAGGAGCAGCAGCAGCAGGAGGAGCACCACGAACCACCTGCAGGTCCCCTACCAATCCCATCGTCCTTACTGGCCCCTATTGGCCCCTCCCAGGCACCTTATCTGCCTACGCCCCATCGGCCACTGCAATTATTGTACTGCTGTGAACATTGGCATCTCTCAACACCAAAGAGACTTCAACGCAAACATTAATCTGCGTCATTCTCTCGCACCAAGATCTGCTCCCCACCGTGGAGACACGGCGCCCTCTGCCATTGTCGTGGAATTCTGCCGTACCGTACAGTACCGTCCTGCCCCCCATCCCCATCCCCACCCCGTTGCCATCCACAACCACGGTCAATCCAGTGTCCACCGCAAAGCTCTGCCCCTGCTCTTCACCGGTTTTGCAGAGGCGGAGTCCGAAAGTCAGTGCGTCCTTCGCCATCCAAACAGCCCTGGAAGCCAGGAAGCAGCTAGGAAGCTAGGACACCTGGACCCAAGCAGCAGCACTTGAACGAACGCTGACAGGCATCATCAAGCAGCCCCCCCTTTTCAACATCCAGGTTGCATCGACCCTGGTACCAAGCATATTTGATACATTAAACGGCAAATCCTTCGTGCTCCAGCTGCCAGCTGCCACTCTACTACGGACCAGCTCCTCTGCCTACATACCCTACGCTCTCGCTTCAACAAAACCCTCTGACAGCCCGGCCTGCTGAACCTACCCTTCCGAGTACATCTTGCGTCCGACAACCCGCGCCCAACACCAGCACCACCGTCACCCCTCAACCTCCATCACCAACACGACCATCTAGTAATTACTCTTCAACACCTTCATCACGCCTCAATCAAGTATCAAGATGTGTTTCGGGGGACGGAGGGGCGAGGATGAGTACAAGAAGAGTCGGGAAATCGATGCCATGATCCATCGGGATGAGAAGGAGATGGCAAAGGTCGTCAAGCTCCTGTTATTGGGTAAGCTCGCTTTCCGACCCTCCAAATATCCACCAACGCCAAAATACACCCACTACACTACACTCCCGCCCTACACTAACGGCTACTAACATGGCGTCCCACAGGTGCTGGAGAAAGTGGAAAGTCGACCATCTTGAAGCAGATGAAATTGATCTACACCAAGGAAGGCATTTCAAAGAACGAGAAGGAGGAATGGCGTGTGATAATTTTCAACAACCTCCTAGATGGCGTGCGGATGATTATCGATGCTATGGAGGAGATGGGCATTGAATTTCAATACGAGAATACGACTGTGAGTGACTAACTCCACTGGCCATGTACTGTCGCTCGCCGTGCAGCTCCCCTGACCGTCTCCCAGGTACATTTACCTGTAATCCTCCAAGAAAAGGACTTGCGACCCTTCGAGCCCATCCCGACCGAGTATCTTCGAGCGTTCAAAGACCTGTGGAAGGACCCTGGAATGAAAAGGGCAGTGGCGAGGGGAAATGAATATGCGCTGCACGATAACCTAGGATAGTAAGACAATCACCGCTACGTAAATTCCAGTCACAAACCAGCTAACCTCTCCCCTTAGCTTCTTCGAGGACCTCGACCGATTATTCAGCAAAGACTTTGTTCCCACCAATCAAGATGTTCTGCGAGCAAGGCTGCGAACGACGGGCATAACCGAGACAGTTTTTGATTTGGGCTCCCTACAGTATCGCATGTTCGATGTCGGTGGACAACGATCGGAAAGGAAGAAGTGGATTCACTGTTTCGAAAATGTCAACGCTCTTCTCTTCCTGGTAGCTATCAGTGGATATGACCAGTGTCTAGCAGAAGACAAGGATGGGGTACGTAGGCGTGAAAATATCAAGAACTCTCTGCTGACATCTCGTAGAATCAAATGCAGGAAGCCCTCATGCTCTGGGAATCAATTGCGAATTCGCACTGGTTCAAGAACTCGGCGCTCATTCTCTTTATGAACAAGATCGATTTATTCAAACAAAAGATTGCATCAAGTCCGATTACCGAGTTCGGTTTCTCGGATTTTAAAGGAGACCCCGCCAGCTGGCAGCAAGCCAGCAAGTACTTTATGGAAAAGTTTGTAGCGCTCAACCGAAACCCAAGTCGCGATGTTTATAATCATTTCACTAACGCCACCGACACTACCCTTCTCAAAGTCACCATGGATTCCGTTCAAGACATGATAATTCAAAAGAATCTACAGAAACTAATCTTGTGAGCAAAAAGATAACCTTGGACACCCCCTCTTTTTCTGATATCACGAAAGATGCGATCCTCCCCTCTGAGCATGAGGCCCTCACTTTGCAGAAAGAGATCATACGCAGATGTCATAGCACCGTTTAACGACTCGACGAATCTTTTGATGAACAACTACTACTACTTCTCTCCACTACTCCCTTCACAACAATACAATAAATACCCCTGACCAAAACCTTCTCTCTAAATCAGCCATCACAACAATTTCGACCGCCTCTAACTTTCTTTTTCCCTGGGTAATCGGAGTTTGTACATCACCATGAGGCATAAATTTACGACTCAAATTTTTATTTCCTCTCCTCTATCCCCGAACAGAATTGAAGAAGCTCAACAGGGGGTGGCGGTAGATGGAAGAGGAAATGAAGAAATGTTTGGGACATACTATTGGGTGGCATTTGGATAATCTCTTTTCGATTTCTTTTCCTTTTCGGGCCATAATCGCGGGCGGCTGGAGGAAATCTTTTTCAATTTTGCTTACTTACTTCCATACCTGGATTCTCGCACTCTGGAACCCGATCACTTCGTCAGCATGCCAAAGAGCGGCTCCACTCTCTTACCCCACCTCGCATTCCCCGGACATACAATATCACCACACATCCACTACAGCAACAGACCTCTTTCTTGACTTGAACTTAGAAGCGCAGCATCTTCTTTTTTCTTTTTCTTGTAAGATGAGAATGAGAGGAGCGGGTTCGTTCTTCTTAGAAAGGTTGTCTCTTCTTCATGGGTTGGAATGGACTGAATCATTGGGATGCAAGGTCGGGTCGGAAGTCGATGGGGTGATAGGGGGCAGTGAGGGCAGAAGTGGGGGAAGCGGGAGGTTGAAAATTGAGATGGCGAAATTCTACTGTGTAGTGTAAATAGACCAACGTAAAAGGAAAAATAACCCGCAACCTAATTTTTTTTTCTCGTTGGATGTTTTGGTTTCCTTTATCTACGATATTTGTGAAATTTTCTCTCTTTATATTTACCCCTTTTTTTCACGTCCTCTTTTTTCTTCTTCCTGATGGTTCTTAGCGTGTGGGGTTCAATTCAGTTTCTTTGCCTCTCTTTCTTACAGTAGTGTTGCTGGTGAGATGCTTAGTTTCTCTTGTAGTATTTGCTTCCAGAGAGTGCTTTTCTTTTTTTCTCTTTTCTTTTTTGAGAATCTTCTCGTTTCTAGATTCTCGTTGTTTCTAGATTCTCGTTGTTTCTTGCTTGCTTCTTGCTTGCTTCTTGGTCTAAGTAGTACTTGGTGGGGTCTTGAGGGGTTGAGGTGGGACGGTGGGTGGGGGTTCTTAGGCTGTTTGGATGGTGTTGTTTTTTTGTTGTGGTTTGTTTTGTTGTGTTTTATTTGGGTAGGTGTAGGTGTTGGTGGGTAAATGGGCTAGGGAAGGTGGTTACGTGGAATCTCTCTCTTAACTGAGTTGTTTGGATCTATGGGTTCTGGGATTGGAAGAGGGATTGGAAGAGGGGAGGGGGAGATTGTTGGAGGTGGATGGAAGGGATACGTTGGGGATGGGGATAGAGAGGGGGTTTGTTGGTAGAGTTGTGGTATTGTGTGTGTATATATATATGTGTGTGTATATATATATGTGTGTGTGTATGGGAAGGAGTCCATATCGTGGTCCTTGGGCTCGGGTGTGATGTTGAGATTTGAGATTTGAGATTTGTAGGTTACGGGTTCGGGTTCGGGTTTAGGGGGTGTTTGGCTCGTGTAATTTAGAGATTTGCACTATATAAAAAGAATTATGTGTATATGTTTTTAATTAAGATTTGTATATAATTCTTAATTTACACGCTTGTTTAGATAGCCGTAAAAGTTTTTACTAAAATAATTATAAATCTATTATAAATCTAATTATAAATCTTTTTAGATTTATACTACTAAAAAAAACTTTATAAAAGAACTAAAGCCTTAACCCTTGAGTTCTTTTTAATTTATATAAATCTCTATATAAATCTTTTAGTCCTATATACTACTATAGTACTAAAACCTAGTTAGATCTACCTAGCTTACTTAGAACCACATTAATAAATAACCTAAATTATTACCTTAATATACTATACTATAAGTCTAATCTATATACTTTATTAAAAAGACGTTAAATATATAATAAAAAGAAGATAATTAGCTATTTCGTTACTATACTAAGAGTCTAGGCCTCGGCTAAATATTTCCTATAAAATTATATTAAAACTCTATAATATACTTCTAAGCTTAAGAGGAACGAATAAATAGTGGAATTAATTAAGGGATATCTAAAATATATAAGAAATGGTCTTTATATTACCTAAGAAGCCTTTAGTATATTAGAGAATATACTTATATAGAAAGGTAAACTTATATCTACTTAATATATAATAATAAGAGAGTAGCTTAGTATATTTATATATATAGTTATAAGTAACTTATTGTCACGAATCACGTGTTCACGTGATACCTGTCATAATAAGAGGAGCAACCCTCGACAGGCACATCCAGGTTTCTTATAGCAAATAGGGATGCTTAGACTAGCTAAGCGATCCAAGGATTTCTCGTGTATGTAGTCACGTGATCAATCGCATCGCCTGTATCGACAGTCGATGTTAGCGATAGGAGGTCGACTACATCGACAGGTGATGTAGGCGATGTAGAGAGAACGAAGGTTCTATATAAGACTGGCACGTCTGCCATTAGATAGGAGCTTCGTGCTCAACTTAGTTATCAATCTTATCATATTTGTGACGACACGTACGCAAGGCCCACGGTGTAGGTTGTGGAATCGTAGAACTGTCAATTAAACAAAGATTCTAAGCTGAGGAGAAGAGGAGAGCTCGAGAGAGCTTCGATCTAAATACTTGGTGTGGGTCGCTAAGCGAGACCACGTGATCCGAATGGTGGTGACGGTTAGAACCGTCACAATATTAGTTTGACATCTTTGATACAAGTAACGAGTTCACTTCCAAGTGAACAACCCGATAGTCTTCTTCTTATCATAGCATACCAACCAGCGAACACCCAGCCAAGTTTAGTTAGCCAGTTTGAGTATTCGTTACACTTATCCCTATATAAAATAATAGAGCGCTTTTAAAGGTAATAAATCTTTATATTCTAATTAGATAATTACTTACTTTAACTAGAAGTACTAAGATAATTTAGTATATTTATTATAAAATAATAGGTATATTACTCTTGAATAAAGCTTGTAAGTTATTAATTACCTATTTAGATTTAACTTAAATACTTCTTATAATATAAATAAATCTAAAGAATTATTCTTAGTTTAAAAACTATCTTAAAGTAATTAATAGTACTTATGTTCTAGTTATACTATAGTATAAGAAGAGGTTTAGTTTTAGAGATAAACTTAGTAATTTATCTTAAAACGTACTTACTATATATATATTCGATATATAATTTATATATATATTATTTAGATAAGAGAGAAGTATAGTAGACTTAACTTTATAGATCTACACTATATATATAAGAGTTATTTAGATTCTAAAGGGGAAATATATTCTTAGTAATTATAGCTTTTCTAGCTTACTAGAATACTTAGTACTATATTATAGTATATAGTACTATTTAAATAAGTAGAAATAAGTATTTATAAATAAATAAAACCCTAATACTTAGAAAGAGCTTTTTAACTTATACTATACTATTCTATAAAACGTTATTAAGTATATTTTTAGCGTCTTAAAAACTAAGTTTAAGATATTATAAGTACTAAAGAGATTTAAGATATAAGTATAAGCTAAACTTATTTCTACTCTATATATTTTATATAATATATTAAGCTTAATTATAGGCCCTAGTTATAGTAAAGGAATAAAGCTAGAGTTCGAAGACTATAAGAATAAAGATAATAGAGATATTATATTTATAGATAGAAATAGATATTATACTAATCCTTATACTAGGGTACTAGGAAACGAGATAAGAGATCGAATTACTACTATTATATAAGAGATAGAGTTAAAAAGAAGATATAAATAATGTCACGGATGCCAACAAAGGATAAAGTGTATACAGCTTTTGAATCAATTGCTAGAACTAAAACCGTAGGTACGAAGAAATCAAACTAAAGAGAGAAGAGAATTTGAAAGGAGCGAAGTTATTTGAGTTGTTCCAATGCCAAGTCTCGTCACGTGCTTGGCCAAGCGAATGAAATCCTGTCAAATGAAATCCAGCTCCGTCACAAATAACCTATATATATTCTTAGTATTATTACGTTACTACTACTATTTTTTAATAAGATACTAGTAGTAAAATATAGTAAATAAAAAGCTAGTTAAATACTTAATTATACTACTATAAAGGTAAATAGTTTATATATAACTAGCTAATAAAGGTTCTTTAATAGAGTAGATTTATATAGTTTTAGAATAGATTATATAATTTTAATAGCTAGAAGCGAGCTATAATATAATATTACTTTATACTCTATTTTTCTTAGTTAAAAGTAGTTTAATTTACTAAAGGTAAACTTTATAATAAGTCCTAGGTAGTAGAGTCCTAGGTAGTAGAGTTCTAGCTAGTAGAGTTCTTAGATAATCTACCTAGTAGTACAGGATTCTAGGTCTTCTTTTTTCGCGCTATATTATATATATACCTTAGAGGGGAAAGCGGAGTTTTTTAGACTATTTAGAGACTCTTAAAAGAGGGTTTTATATAGAATCTAGTCCTAGGGAAAAAACCGCTAGATAATAAAAGGAGGGCGGTTTATATATAAAGATAGTTTTAAAATATTAGATAGTTATATTAATAAGATAGTTAAGGCTAGTTTCCTATATATAAAATCGTTCTAGGACTTTTCTAAGAGCGTCCGAAAAGCGTTTCGAAATTATTCCGCGACCGCCCTAAACCCGTCCTAAACCTATCCTAAATCCTACTCCTAGGTCTATATATAATTACGTAAGCAAGGTGCGTAAGGTACTCCCGGCCTACGCTTAGGCGTCTACGGGCATATACCCCGCGTGCCCCTATAACCCCTAAATAAACCACTAGTAACATCGCACGTTGTACCGCCTATAATACGCGCCCGTTAAATTTTACTAAATTGACTAAATTTAACACTTATATTTTTATAGAATTAGGGCTAAGCGTATAGGAGTAGTACCGAGTACGTAATGTGGCCCGTACGCTGCGGCTGTGCGCCCTATATACGGCTCTATAGGGCACTTTTCCGTACCGTCCCCCGTACCGTCCCGGGACTGTCCCGGGAGCGTCCGAAAAGCGTTCGAGGACTATTCGAGAACGATTCTTAGACTATCTACAAATTAAACTATTAAAATAAAAGATTATTATAAATCTAAGACTATTTATAACTAAAATAGTCTTAAAACTATTTAATATTTAAATAGTTATAAAATAGTTTTAAAATTATTTTATATTAAAACTATTATTAATTTAAATTATTATACTTATAAATAGTCTTAAGATTATTTTTCATTTAAATAGTTATTAATTCTAAACTATTTCTCTTTTAAATAATCTTATATTAGTTTAAAATTTATAATAGTTTTTATAAAAAATAATTAGAAATTAAAATAGTTTTATAATTTTAAATTATCTAGAAATAGTTTTATAATAGTTTTACTTTTATAAACTATCCTATAACTATTTAAAAAACTCCGCTTTCCCCTTTAAGGTATATATAAAAGTTAAAGAATTAAAAGAGTTAAAGGAGAAAGAGAAGATAGAAGGAGTATAATTACTTAGTTAAGTACTTAGTTAGATAGAACTAACGAAATCGTAGTATAGTACTAAAAATTAGTTATATAGACAGAACCTACAAAAATCGACAAATATACGACAATATAGAAAAAACTTTTATAGGAGCTAAATAGTAGTATATTTGTTTTGTTATAATAGTCTAATTTATATGTAAATTAAGAAACTTTTATATAAGTCCTTAGGGTCCTCCAGCCCGTGTAAATCTTCGACTTTTGTACCTAATTTACAAAGAGAGATTTGCGTAGCCAAACACGCCCTAAATTAGAGGGCTTCTTTTTTTTTTGAAGGTGGAGGGGAAGTTGAAATGGAGAATTGGGAGGGGTTTGGAATAAATGGGAGTGAGTGAGGGTCAAGGAGGGTTTTGATGGGTAGAGAGGAGGGTGTTTCATATTTTGTAGCAATAGGGAGAGGGTTAGAGGGTATTAGGAGAGCTGGAGTTGGAGTTGGAGGGAAGTGAGGACGTTGATGCGTTGGTACCTACTGTATACCCACCGAACCCAAGTTGTGTAACTTGGGTTGTATATATTTTGTACTGTATCTTCTGTAGTGATTTATTTTTATTTTTTATATGCCCTTTCTAGTATTGTTGTGGTAGGTAGGTGCTGAGTGGAAGGAAGGGGATGAAGTAATTATAATTATGTCCGTCCGTCTCCTTCTAACATATTGATCTTCTAATGAAGGGTTTGGGAGAGCTGAGACAGAGGCAGAGAATGTTTGTATTGCGATGAAGTTAGGGGGGGAGGGTGTTTTTGTTTTATTTTTTTTATTTATCTCTCTACTGCGTCTAGGACTGCGCGGGTACTGTATCTTACGCTGCTAAATCCTCCCACTTGCTTGCCTTGCCTTCCTCGGTCTAGTCTGGCTTGCTAAACTACGAGAGATACATGTAGACTCTAGAGATCTTCTTCCTTTATCTTCTAGCTATTCTCCATTCCTGTACTACTGCACTGGGAAAGAATCGGAGATAAAGATGGAGCCTGTGAAAAGGCTCGAGACCCATCTCTCGATCGATATACTTTGCCCAGACCAGACCACCATCAAGCTTCAAGGATCCATCAATTACTGTTTTCTGGTATTTAGACAGTCCAATATAATGTGAATCCAAATCCAGATCTAGATCTAGATCTCTCATGTTCCTAGAAGAAACCCACATGGCACCGCGGAATTACCGCGCGCAAAAAGGAATTTTGATATATGTAGAGAATAAACTGGGGAAACGTGGGAGGAAGGTTTGGATTTTTTTTTTTTTGTTTTTGGGTTTCTTTGTGTTGGTATTTTTGGTTTTTGGAATTGCCCTTGTTAGAGTTGGGTTAGGTGGGTGCGTGGGGAAGGTTTGGAAGGTTTTGAGATTGGGTTTGAGTGATGGGTTTCTTGGGAAGTTGGAGTTGGGAGCGTGGGGGTGGGGGATGTGTGAGGGTGCTTTGGGGTTGGATGTTAGGGTATGTTTGGTTTGGTTTTTGGGATGGGGGATTGGGGGGGGGATGATATATGAGGTGATGGGTTGTTGTCTGGTCTGATAATCCTCTTCTCTTTTTGGTGGGTGGTGAGGTAGGGTAGATGGCGTTCTAATGGTGTACTAACGGATAGTGTGAAGGTTTATTAATCGAGATTTGGTTTTTTTCCCTCTTCTCCTTTTTTGTTTTTAGGTTGCTGGGGTTTACTAGAGTCTGGAGTCGGTCGGTTATAGTTTGCTGGTTGGTGGTTGCCTGGGTTTGGGGGATGGGAGGACGGGTAGTTCCTGGGTGGGAGAGAGGAGGGGATGGATGGAGAACTGCTCGAGGATCTAGTTTGGGAGGAAGGTTTTTGATATGCAGTAGTGTCTTTCATGCGGCTTTGTAATGCATTAATGAATGATAATACATTTTCATCTCCTCCCATTCTCACTACCCTCTATCCATCTTCTCGCCCTCACCACTGTAATCTTACCAAATCGTTCCTTGTAATCCTTCAGTCTCACTCACAGTCTAATATTAAACTCTATATAATCTACCATCACCACGGGAACAAGAAACAAGACCCAGGTCAAAGGATGAAAACATAGATGGAATCAAGCGATATAAAGTACCGTGCTGGGTAGATGACTCGTTTGTTTTTATGGTTGCTCTCGGTGTTAAGTCTCCTTGTTAGTAAGATCTTACAGTAGTAAGTTATGAGGGGAAGAGAAAGCGAAAGGGCGTGGGGAAAACGTGCACGCGGAAGTTTATTGTTGATGTCATGGAGTGAGTCCTTGGGTCTTTGGGAGGGGCTGGTTGAGGATGTGGGGGATGTGGGGGATGGGAGGTTTCTTGGCTACTGTATACCTTTTTGAAATGGGTTCTTCAGTGGGTGTTTTTTGGGAGGTTGATTTCTGGGGATGAGGATGGGGTTTCGCTTTGGGTTTGTGGATTTAGGATGTTCTTTGGTTATGGATTTGTTGGTTTGTAGATTGAGTGTACTGTAGCCGTCATACGAAGTCTCGAAGGAGTAATATTGCGGAATCCGTACTGTAATAAGCGGCATGTGCCACCTACCGCGACTGGACATGTGCGATCGTAATCTGTAGAGTTCTAAAGCACGCATAGTTCAGGCTAATTTATACAAGGTCGCTACAGCAAGATGTACGACACCGGCCTACAGAGCCCGGATCTGGGTTGGAATCGATCCCTCCAATTACTTGCATATGTATACGATCCTTGTGTTACATTCTCCACGTGGAAAGACGACTGTCTCTTCTTTAATTGCCTTTCTGTACAACTCTCCCACAAACCTGAATCCTGTCATGTTGTGCCCGGTTTGCATCTGGCATCTTCCATTTTCATTCCTTCACCGAAATGAAGAAAACATGTTTTCGCCACGTGGGAAAAGGGTGTTGATGAACACTATTTTTGTGTTTCTTGGGGCCGAGGATGGGGGCTAGGCGAGTGCTATGTTATACATGTGCTGTACGAGTACTGCGGTATCACTATTATAGTAGTACCAGGGCATTTTTCTGTTGGTTGTCCTCCCCACTTTCGAGGCGCTTACGGTACTGGTCCTCGTATTCTCCATTCGTTCAGTGGCTCTGTGGCAAAGAAGATCGTCGTTCTTTGAGCCCCAAGCTGGGATTATTTTCATTAGTGATGAGAAGTGAAAAGAGGGGCAGAATCCATGATCCTGTTCTGTTTCTGTTTCGGTAGGTGCTAAATGGGGGCTGGGATTTTCCAACTTTTTTATTATTTGGAGGTTGAGGTTACATTACAGATTGTTTAGTTCTTCACCGAAAGCCGAACCAACAGCTAGAGCTGGGGCTGGACAGTACCTTCATTTGGATGACATTGATGTGCGATGTGACAAGGTACGTACATAAAATTACTATCGCTCCTGCAGGCTACGCCGTTTATGCGCATATCAACTTCGAAGTCTGATACATTTGGGTAAGCGAGGACAGGGGCTGGGTAGGCAAGGGGGAGTATTGGATGTGTATACGATTTGTGACTAATGGTTGGATGTTTGGAGTTGGACGGATGTTGGTTGCTTTTTTCCCTGTTTTAAGCAAGTGGACTATGGCCTTGTCTTGTGTTACTAATGTTGGTAATGAGGCCGTTGAAGTACCGGCATAATATGACAGTACAGGGTTTGATGGATTGCTCTTAAGTTTTAAGCTTGTGGTTACTGTGATGTCAATGAACGCTCTTTGTATTTTATTGTCAGTTCGAGTGAAGCGGTCGGAAGAGTTCTGATCCTGACCAGGTATCCAGATATATTCTCCTATTACCTCGCCTTCTGAAAAGTGATAGAAGATATTCCGTGGGAATCGTTACGACACTCGATTTCACGCAAACAAGTGACACATAATCATCCGTACCGAGGGGTAATGAAGATAGACAAGCAAGCGATTGGTTATGTTCTAGAAAACTAACGGAGAATAGGAAGGAGGCTCGTTTCTGTTATGTTTACCTTGTCAAATTATCCTGAAACAGATATTTTATGCATCTAATATGTACATGATCCTGCAGGTGCTTGGCTCGTATACGAGGTTCCTACTGCATACTCGCTTTTCAAAGTAGTGAATGGGATTAGGACTAGTGGCTCAGCATAGATTACGTAGTATTTGATACTCTGGTAGCTTGCTGCGAAATCTCTTCTGTATGTGTACGACTAAGAATAATGAATCAGGACTTTTATTCCGTCTTGTTTGCTCATATCACGCGCACCATAAGAATCTAGGCTAGCAAGACTCTACAAAACACGATTGTAAACCAGGACTTGACCCGACGACTTACATCATACTCATATGAAGAGATGGTAATAGCAGTCAAATTAACTGATAGTGTGGTGGAGGGTACATACATCTTAGATGTCAGGAGCGGGTTTGACTAAAGCGTAATTGACTCGGAATTGATATTTTACTTGGGACACTGAGAAAGCTTGAGATTGTGTTGTTTTTGACTCCCAAGAAAGTTTGTTTGACTCTTTCAGAAATCAGAAAATTATCTGAAGCAGATGCTAACCTTTCTTATTAGCAGTAATTGGCTTACATCGGCATATCCTGTTATTACAATAGGCCTCAACGTGCCCACACAACGACACCATTCTGGTTTATTGGTACCTGGTATTCTCATGGCACATGCCACCAGTAGAGAACTTCTTAGCTATGTTGAACTTGGTCGAGAAAACTGATAAGTCAATGTCTTGAATAGGAAACTTTCTGCAAAGGAGGGAAACTGGTATACCCATAAGAAAACTGAAATTCTCGTCTACAGACTCTCTAGCATTGTAATCAAGAAGACTGCTTTCTTTCCGATCAATATAAAAATAAACAAGGCTGGGGTTCTTGTGAAATGGACCATTAGTTGCTCGTATTGTCCCCAGATCTGAATTGTACTTAATATGTATAGAGGAAATAGAAATCTTCAAAGTGCTTGCCATCTATTTATGGGTTTTACACGCAGGTTGACTTCCTTTTCATTTAGTGTATTGTCTATCTTTGTCCAAAGTAGGACGATTTTTAGAAGCTCGCTATGATTTTGATCGAAACGATTTTGATACGAGTACATCGCTTATTTTATTAATTGTCCCCGTTTTGCCGTGCTCATCATTATTTAGTTCCGTAGTCTACTCAAATATAGAAACAGTGAAGATTATTTGACCATTGACTCTATAATAGACGCACATTTCTTTCGTGGCATTTCTAGAGGATGGTGCTACGTGATTACTGTTCTCTCTGGATGCTCTACTATATTCTCTTGTCCTATTGAGATCGAAAAATCATATCAATCATTCCGCCCCCCCCAGGTGTTGAATAGGGAATCATGCTAATAAAAACTAGTGCTTTTTTGACATCCTACCTGGGGCATGGGCTACCCCAATTTTATCATCAATAGGCTTGGGTAAATCTTTTCATCGGGGCCGCTTTCGAAGCTTCTTCAATTTGTTTACAAGCATAGCTAATGAACAGAACTCGATGAGATCAAACTAACAACCGAGTACGTGGTGTTGAGAGGACTAGGATGGTAACAATTCCGTGTGGAAACCGGGTAACCTCGTTGGGTGAACTGGAGAATAAAGCGTAAAAGCACACAGTCTTCTTATTCTGCCTAGACTACCAGTTTTTGCGTATCGACTTGATGAACTGTTTCGTAAAACTTTTTCGATTAGTTGCTACCTGAACCCCATCAGTAAGAATCACAGGAAGAGTATCTGTGCAAACCATAAATTGTGTCTTGTCTCATTATCTCTTACTGGCCCACGATCTTACCAAGCGCCCTGAACTGAAAGGAATTGCTTTGCGCCCAAATGCCGCCATTCAAAACTTCCGGTCTACATTGATTCATGTGAACCAAATTCAATAGTAACCGGGATCAAAAGCCTTTTGGCTGTATTTGTAACTAACGGGGTCTTGTAACACTGAATCGCCAGCTTATCCGCCCACGATTGTTAAGGGTACTATAAAGGTACAATCCGCCAAGTAACTATATATCCTCAATCAATATGAAATTTGGCTAATATTATCTAGGCAAAACCAAAGTAATAATCTTCCGAATTTTATTCATACATTAGTTGAAGGGTGTGTTTGTTATTTGCGTAAAAAATAAGCGTAGTAAATCAAAAAGGTTAGTTGCAACCGTATATCAACTTCAAAATCCATACAATAAGCGACTAATAAAGTCTATGAAACAGTGGCTCGCTTAGCTCAGGGATAGGTCATCTACGAACTAGAGGGCTGGAATATGCATATTATGGGTTTCTCTCGTACATCTACAGATGAGTTTGAGTTATCCCGTGAAGTAGATGAGAAGCGCTTGTCAAAGTGAGTATACAGAGTTTGTTTGCCATGCTGAAAATGAGGGATCTCATGAGTTGTCGGCTACCCATCGCCATAATTAAATGGTAGTGTAGTCACGTCACCTCCTTCTTGAAAGTAAAGGAAAAGTGGCAGTCCTTATCGTTCCTTTATATGGTGATTTTCAGTAATTGGAACAAGAGCTTCATTGTTTCAGGATTCTCGATTAATGTACTTTCAGCGTTCGAAACAAGCAGAATAAAGATATCCCGTGGATTGACCTACGATAATAAAAGGGTTATTTAACGCCTTTGTCTGGCTATATGGTGGTTGAGCTTCGGTGTCGGGATATAGAATTAGCTTTTAATAATATGACTTGGCCGATTGATTGAAAGAATACAATGCTTAGATTGTGCTAACAACTTACTAGTCGTTAACGTCCAAAACTCAAGCTATCTCCTCCGTGGTACGTGTCCTGCGGGACATATATTTGACTTATATAGGGCCGCGTAAAGTGGTATCTAGTAGACCCTATCCAAAAACCCCTATTTAGCATTGAATATAACTTCTACAAAAGTCGAGAGAGACTTAGGTAAACTTTGGAATATTATCTTAATGTATAGTACTACGTGAGAGTTAGAACTCCGACTGCAAAATCCTTTTAACTCTTAATATAAAAAGAGACGCGTTCAAATTAGGGGCTCGCCAAATACGAAAATTCATCTTGGCGGGACACGTACCACGGAGGAGATACCACCAAAAGATCTCGGCCCACACAGCTAGAATACAGATACTGCTTCTCACTTGACTGTTTCTTTCCACCCATATCCCAGCTGAGCAAGTCACATCTGCACGCTGGAGTTAATATGTAGATCTATCCTCCACGAAAAGTAACTTGGGGATACAGTGTTCCATAATCAGCCCGGACATGAAGCCATCCTTTTATTCGCACCTCCCACCCTACAGTATATTTGGTATGCTGTGCGACTGTCAATCATGACAGGCTCAGCTGTGGCATGACATCACCACTTAAACTTGCGATAACCATATGCATACGGATATTTTCGAACCGTTTGGAAGCTGTGCTAGCGTTGGCGGCCTAGGTACCACTTTCAGGTCGCCGTTGTGGAGGTATGATCATTGTGGTATATTGAGATATATCTATTTGTATTGCTAGTGAAAACAAAAAGGAAATTTGTTTGAGAACATACCTAGGTAGTGGTGTCAATGATGCCTTGGTATGATGGAGGTTGTCATCCCCCAATGGGTTTTTGGGTTCAAATTGTGAGCTTTGCTTAGCTAGTCTTATCAATATAGCACGCTGTAAACCCATGGTAGCCCGATACGATAACAGTTTGATAGCTGGTTACCTATCACAAACTGGTACCTGGTTGGTCCTACACAACCTCGCATTTGTACGGAATGAATTCGCTTCCTGGCGTCTATGCTATTGTAACACCAAATTTGACTAATGGGCCGATATCACTGACAAGAAATCAATTCCAATATACAAATGGTTACCATGTATATGATTATCAATTCTTACTTCCGAAAACGTCGCCCTTTTCGTTAATGAAAGTCAATTCCTAATTGAAGCACACACTCTGTAACAAAGTAGATAAAACTCAGCTCAATCAAAGGGATTATTATAATGCTACGGAAATCCTCTACAACTAAAAAAGAAGTGAAGCTATTCCTAGATATTATTTCGCTAACTCCTTGTAGTGGAAAGAATAAAAGGTACAAAGCTAGCCTCTGTGAAGGAAATGACCGGGTCGGCCGCGTCTATATTGGAAATCCAATATTGTTAAAGAAGTATTGAGGATCAGGAAACACAGCGCTTCTTATAGATTAGTATGTAGTTGTGGGGTTTATATCCAATAATCCATTCCTCATTCCACACCCACTACGGGACATTATGGAATGGATTGACATATTTGCCAATGATCCTACAAATCTGTTGTCCGGCCCGCGGTTGCGATATTCCAATTGATGAAGATCTGCACTTTGGGGTTATCATAGCACACGTCCGTAGTTCGGGCGATTTCTTTTTCGGAGGGACTGTAACACAATCACGAAGTCTAAGCGAATCGGATTCTGCTTGGATCGGTTTTTATACGAAGACGGTGCTGTACAGATACCAGAAATCGAGGTTTTGTTTCCCAATATCACGATCCCGTTCCAAACAACGTCCTGAGCCACGAGACCGGGACGAGAACCAGGAATGAAGCATGATGTGCATTGAGTACTTCCGAAATCTTGAGGTACGACACGTCCATCCTATTCGGCGACTTAGACTTGAGGTTATTCTAAGGTATTACGTATTACACGTACATGAGCTCCTATGTCTTCTATAAAAGAGAGCTATTCGAACCGTCGTCACTCTCTTCATTTCAGTTTCCTTTAATTGTTCTTTTGCAGATTTTTGGAATAAAGGTATTCATGAAACATGATTTCGAAGAAGCTTCTCAACTATCTTCTTTGCTTGGGTCTTGGAACCAAGGGTATAGCTCAAATTCTGTCCCAGGCGGATGCTAATTTGAGATGCCCATCGGGACAAATCGCTCATATGCTTCCAGATGGATCTGATTGGGATCCTAACGGCTGTAAAGATGTAAGAGACCCGATCTTCATTATTCCAGTAACTTACAACGCCTTAGCCACCGGTTCCACCACCACCAACTTCCAGCGGTGTGTGCTTTGGCAACGCCTACACAGATCCAAAAACTGGATAGCAAGGCTGTTGCAGAGGCAATACTGCGTTCTCCTTCGACGCTGCCTCTTTGGAAGGAAAATGCTGTGCGCCTGGCGAGGCATTTTCATGGGATTCAGTGTCGAATGTGGGTAGTTGTTGCAATAATGGAGTTTCATTTACTTGCTCCTGTGGTTCTGCCGCGGCAGCAGCCCCTGGTCAGCAACCATTATGTGAGTGATGTTTTGGTTGCATATATCAGTCAAGAATAGTTCTATTGGATCTCTACAGCTCTCCCAAGACGAAGTCAATTTTCTAATCTATATTAGGTCCTTCTACCACTTCCCCCACCTATACCTCCGGCGGAAAAACATTCAGGGTTCTAGGTGGAACGAACACTTTCGGCAATAGTCTTCCAGGTCAAGCAGGTACCGATATTAAAGACTTTATTGATAAGTGTGCCCAACAGCCTGGCTGTGTCAGCTCTACATATTCCGCGGGAATGTGCTTCCCGAAGAGTGCCCTCACTTCACCGAACCAACCCAATGTACAAACAGACAGCGTGGAGCTTGTTATACCTAACATTGCACCCTCAGAAAGTTGTCCTGAGCTTGGCGTGAAGGGAAACGAAAAACGAATTGAGGGAGGTAAAGCTTATAGCTTCTGGTGTGGTGAATATCAGAAAGGAGCTCAGTTTGTACTTTAAAAATCCCAAGCAGCCACGGTGCAGGAATGCTTACAAAAGTGTAACCGAAACGCGTGAGTCGTTTTCAAGATGCGAGGGCCTTTTAAGATTCTGAGCGAAATGCGTATCGAGATTTCCAGAAGCTAGTGTTTCTCTTGTTAGGAAATGCCGCGGAACTTTCTATGGCTGGAAAGCCGGACGCAGACAATGCGAATGTAATTTGGTTGGCTCGAGAGGTGAAACTACGTTACTTACTGGGGTTGATGATGCTTTTGTCGGAGCCGGTAAGCCAGAGCTTTTATATATCTCTTGATCTTTCACTGGACTATACTCTCGAGTTCATGAATCTTATCACCAATCATGCCCATGACACCTGCTCAAAGAGAGACAAGAATTTCATACAGTCAGGGTTTCCAAAAGGGAAATATCACTAATTATTCACCAGTACCTGATGGCCTCACCGACGAAGAGGCTGGTGTATGCCCGGCATTAGGTGTTGATGGCAAACAAACAAAAACAATCGGCGGAAAGAAATACAAATTTTACTGCGAAGAATATGCCCGTTGCAGCAAGAGTTATACCGAAGCGCCAAGCGTTGAGCACTGCGCCGAGAAATGCTCCAAAGATGCGTAAGTGAGAACCTATCGTGTGCTGGTTGTATCTATATAACTAATTTGCGGTATCTGCAGAACGTGCAAAGGCGTACACTACTTGTATAAGGGACCAAGACTTGGCGAATGTGGGTTCAAGAGCTGTGACACTGCTCCATCCACATCTCATGCCAATCTTATAGGACTTGGTAAGCTCGATAAAAACATGTAGATTGTTCATTAGCGACTATTCTTTCAACAGTGCAGGTGTGATTTATCACGCTCTTACAGCACACAGTCGCATAAGACTACTGTACCCTAATAAGAAATGACACGCCAATTCTTGTTTGAGAAACATGTCGAATCATCTATCTAGATGGATTTCTCTTTTGTAACATCAATTGCCCTTCTTTCCTGCATTTTCCCCCCGATTGAGCTTGTGCTCGATTTGGGGATATGTACTTTATCCAAATCTTTCACTTTTTAAATCAAAAAATCAGTCTTACCTCGTTGTTTTAAAGTCGATCCGTAGTTCCATATGATATACGTTGCCTGATGCTATTCCCATGTGGCATGAGGAGAGGCAGCACTGTGAACTACTCCTTTGTCGGTAATTGTACTACTAAGACGATCTCAGTCGACTTGGCGAGGAAATATAAAAGCTGCAGAAACTTGGTTTACAGGCCTCCTAAAACCTAACCCTACCAAGATGTATTTTGTTCTTCTTAAATTACCAAGCTATAATAACAACCAAAACATCTTGCAATGAATGTTATGAGCACTAATTTGACCCAAATTGTACACGCTACCAGGAAATACTTTTAACGGATTACCGTTTGCATTATCTGGGGCTTAGTCTGTGATAATAAAAATTGAAGCAGTCGTGCTATTTCAACTGGAATCCCTTGGCATAGTGCTGGAGATCTGGCCAATTATTCCTAGAGTCAAATATGCTACTAAGAACCAAGTCGTTGAAGGAACTCCTACTCTTGCCATCATATGTTTCTTTGAATTCCAAAAAGCAGAGTTCCCTTGGAAATCTGCATTTACAGGGTAGGATCTTTACGGAAGAAAACGATGAAGCGCGACCTTTCTTTTGGCAGCCAGTGAGAGGTTCTAATGGAAATAAAGCTGTCAGTAATTGCGACTCCAGTCAGAAAGTTTCCTCGACTTTCCTTGCTTTATGCTAGTTGTTATACATGGGCAAATACTAAATTGAGGCTCCCTCGGAAGTTTGAATCAACACCCTACACCTCGCTTAGCAGTTTATGAGAGTGGCAATGGCCCCTATCCTGTTAGATTATGAAGCACGCAGTAATCACAGAACTTCAGGCACGGGCTGAGTGATTGTTCAAACCGTCTAATACGCAACGAGTCAGTCATGACATGCAACCTTGGAAGGTACTAATGGAATCACATTATCTTATTGCGACCTATGTATGTTTTGAGAATACAATTATCAATACTGTATGTGTATCTACTCCAGTCTGCAGAATGCCAAGTAAAAACAAACCTTTCCCGGCTTATCCTACTAACTAACAACATCTGCTCCGACCCTGTATTCCTTGTATTCCATGTCCCATCCCTTTTCCCATCAAACGTCCCCCATTTTCCCTATTTCCCCATGTTCCTCTATAGAGGACTAGAAATCCATAATCATTGCTTCATACAGAATCTTTTGTACAGCCCACTCAACAGTTTCGGGAATAGTATAGTCCTGAACCCCTCTGGTAAACACTCCAGCAATAGTCATGCCTCGTAAATTTTGAGTACAACCAGGTTTGAAGAATTCCGAAAGTAACCAATTGTGCTCTTGTGTATAGTTTTTTGCGATAACATTATCATAATATGCCTTGGTCTTCCACATTCCACCGGGTCGTCTATCTGGCAAATACACATCACGCTTGAAGCGACGTGTTCTGGCTGTTGGCATGAAGTCTGGGAGGAAAAGGGGAATGTGGATGTGTGACTTGATCTGTGTCCGAGCATCCACGGCAACGGAAGACTTTGTGTATAACATCGTTCCCTCGACGAAAACAACTTTGATATTCTTGCATGCATGTTGAAAGGCATTTCGTACTCGTTGACGAGAAATGGCGATCGCATTCTTGTATACCTTGTTGAGCTCCGAGATATTGTCGACGTGTTGTGTTATTGGGTGTGCTTCTTCCGCATTTCCGTCCTCAAATACCGCGAACTCCCGCTTCTTTTGCCCGCCGTCTCCTTTTTCGATTGAAGGTCCGGAGAGATGCTTTTCTGTACTCTTGATGATGCTCAGATTTTCTTCGCTTTGGTTGATCTCAGAACCCGATCGCACCTCTCCTCTCTTCTTCAAATCTCTAACAGCTTTCGCCAATGCATCAAAGTCAAAAGCTTCGGCGCAATGAAGGTCAGGGCCAGCAACCATCCAGCCAGATACACTCTGGTTCTTTCTATCTGGCTCCGCGGTCTCATAGTATTCACCATCCTCTTCCTCGTCGTCTTCCTTATCGTCTTCGTCGTGATCTTCTTCTTCTTCATCATACTTTCCATCATCATACCGTCCATTATCATATTCGTCATCATCATACAATCCACCACCATTACCTACGCCGTAACTTTCTCCTTCTTCAAGTTCCTCGGTAGTATCACTTTGACCCCCTAGTATCTCCTCCCATATCTCCTCAAACCAACATAACCCCAAGGTATTCCACTCCAAGCTTTGCTCCATGAACTCCTTCTTCTCCAATTCAACGGGAAACTTGGTAAGTGGACAATCCTCCATTGGTTTCAAGAAATCGTCTTGATGAATAATTCTCTGCGGTCTAATGTGCGAGTCCTTTTCTTCCTTCGTTTCAGGGTTGAAGATTTCGTTCAAGAGGTAAACGAGGGTGGATTTGCCGCATCCCGCGGGACCGGAAATTCCGACGACAACAATCTTCTCCTTCTCCTGCAAGTGTTGATTTCGCTCGGGATTCCATAGCGCGTATTTTCTTCTAATAGGATGTGGACGTTCTAGAGTCGACGGAAAAACTGGAGAGGATGCTCGTGTAGTTCCTGAAGACCAGGATTGTGATTCTGAAGCCATCGTAGAACGAGATGACCGAAGTGAAGAGACAGCAACGTTATCTTCATTATTGCTGTTTTCGGACGAGACCAATGGCGAACCTAGGTCTAGTAGCGAGCTTCTTGTACCGAAATCAAAAGTAGTTGCTCTCTTGTGCTTTTGGTTGCCGATTCCCTCTCCTGCATTTGGATCTCCACCTGCTGGCCCTCCCAATACACCTGGTATGTCGAAGGATACCGCACGCTTATGGGCCTTCCCTCTACATGGTGACTCGTCAGTGGCATTGAGAGCTTGCCGAATAGCATCCTTAGAGAACAAAACACTAAGTCCATCAAACTTTGGGATCTTCTTGAGACGAGGTGAGATATCGGGATTTGAAGTGTCGATCTCACCATTTTCTCCATCGCTATCACCCTGTTGTCCAGCAGAAGGTGGACGATCAGAATCTGAAGGACCGGATCCACTACCTTCTCCGTGGCTATCCTCCTCTTGAATGGCAGATTCCTCTTCAATAGCCAAGTCCTTTTCAATGGCCGAGTCCTCTCGAAGTGCAGATTCCTCTTGAATGGCAGATTCCTCTTCAATGGCCAAGTTCTCTTCAATGGCAGAGTTCTCTTCATTAGCATAATACTCTTCATTGGCATAATACTCTTCATTAGCATAATACTCTTGAACATCATAATACTCTTGAATATCATCATCCGCGGCCTCGTTTTCGTTGTCGTAAACTCGTGGTCGGTTGAGAAGCAGGTCAGGGGGGTTGGAAGTCAACGGACCACCTGGTTCTCTGCGCGTTGGTGTCTCGGGCTGCTGTTGAGCTGCGGGTGTGGATGGTACTTCCAGTAGTACCTCCGGTCCGTCTTGCGTTTGTGCTGATCTTGGTCGGAGTCTCTTGAGTGGTATATTGTTCTCATCTAGTCTTGTTGTTCGTGTAGGCAACAGCTTGGAAAATGACTTGTGCAACTTCCCCCGGATCTTCTCTCGACTGTCACCGATAGCAGTTCGGATATGAGTAGAGAGTTTTGGCTTCATCGTGGGTGCTTCATCGTTCGACTTGAGATTCGTCTTAAGGCGTACTTTGGCGATCAAATTCTTGATATACTTCATATCGACTAATCGATGGACGTACGAATCCAGAATGTGATTCCGTAAGAAGAGCTGAATATTCTCTAATATCGAATGCCTGGGTCGCAGGCTGGGACTTTGTCTGATATATCGTTCCGACCTTTGGTGGTGGACGATGTATGTTGGACAAGTTACAGGAGACGGCGTTGCCTGACGGCCGTTATTTATAGGGCTTTCTGGCGGTACCGCTAGCGCGGCATCCCTAACATGGGATGGCACGCTCAAACGAACGGTGAATTGCAAATGGCTATTTTGTGCTGTTGACGTCGACTGTTGCTGGGGTAGCGAGATGAATATCCTCCCCTGGACCACGTGGCTAGAAGCTGGGGAAGACCAGGCAGACTAATGATACTAGTGCAGTGAATGTAAAGACATAAATAAGCAGAGATCAGAGAATGTTCGACTCGTGGCTTGGACGCAACTTAGAGGTGAATTGAGAACCGTCAGAAAGCGAACTCGATATTGCATCTTGGTAGTCATAACAAGACACGTCGTTGGAAATGAAATCCCGCACCGGCAAGACTTCTGTCTTGACCATCGCTTTGTTTTAACTCGTTTCTAGCTTCTTACAACCAAGTAATCGAAAATGTCGTTATAGAATAGTGAATGGTTATTATCTAGCTCCGCTCTTTTGGGACTAGCTTGCGCCGCTCCTTTGGGACTAGTGTACATAATGGCATCTATAAGTGCGCAGGGACTTGCTAGCTACACTTGCTTAGGCACACAATATCAGGCTTACTCATTATATAAATAATATAAGTCTACTGTATCACCCGTTTCTTAACGATAAGTCAAACCAGCAGAAACCTTCCAGGACCATTGGTCGAATTGTCCTATAATTCTTGATGGATTATCTTGATGATATGACGTAAGAAGGATAGCTAAACACTGTGGGCTAAGCTACCATACCAAGGCTGCTATTTACTGTCCCCCTCTATGCCAATTTGGGAGGCGGTAAAGATATAGTAATCACTTGCGACCACCAAAGAATCTAAGCAACTTTAAAACCTGCTTCCTTAAGATAGACTGTTGATTGAAGTGGATATCCTGAAGTGACCTTGCGTTTTCGAGGGCCTCCCACACTTATTTGACCTCATCTCACTCCCTTCACTCCCTAAACAACAAAGACACGTCCAAGCCTCCATTTGCAGTGCTGGATTTCTCGTTTCGCTTCGCCTTTCCCGTTCAAAACAGGTATAACTGTTTTTATTTTTTATACCACTTTGGACTCATGTAAACAAATCGATAGTGCCTTGCTTTAACCGGTAAGCGAGAGTTTATATGCAGCTTGCCGTGCTTAAAAAGTATCGTCCAACTGAATTGCTTATTCTAATAGCTTGTTGCGGAAGACTTGACACTTGTAAACTCTGATTTATTACTATGGTTTTCTCCTAATATGATGAATATTTTTAAACTATGTAGCTCTGTTACACAAAAACAATTAGAATAACTAACGAATTAAAATATCAAGTCTGTCAAGTCTGGCAAAATGATACCTTTAATTACTCCGCACGATTTAGCTTACTTATGAGATCTTGAGAGCTACCATTTCATTCAAGAGATTTGGTTCTAGCAAGGATATTGACTTCAATATACCACGCGATTTCACCCATCTGCTTAGTCTAACGTACAATTATCTAATAACTCTATACGTCGCTATATAATAGTGAATAGATATTAGCTAGCTAACTCCGCTCTATCTAGATTAGCGTAATGTACAACGACATCTGTAAGTACACAGGGACTAGCTAACTACATATGAGGATTTCTGCGGGTTAGTGAACAAGGGTTGGTAGTAGATGCTTCGCTTAGTGAATGTAATGCGGGGTAGGAGTTGCCTAATCGGGAAACGTGTGGTATCTCATTGAGTATACGTATAAGCTAGCGTTTAGATCTCTTTTGCTTGTTACGGTTAATCTCAAGTCCATTCTGGAACTGTCCTTGCACACTCCTAGTGATACCGTGACACCACACTTGCTTCAGCATATAACATCGGACTGAGTTATTGGAGTTAATATAGGTCTATTGTATCATAAATAAATAATAAATCTATATAATAACAAGACAAGGCCCTCCGCCAAATCACCCCCTTTTCTCCACATCCCTACCCTCCCCCTCCACAGCAATATCCTCAATACCCCGACTATGAGCTTTATCCTTCTCCTCACTCTCATCCCTCCTAGCACCAAAATGTTCCTCGCCATTATAATCCATCAAAAGCTCACCATTCTTGCCATACCGATGCGGTTCCAGACGCGCCACAGAAACAACATCGAACCAGCCTCTCCACCCAGCCTTAGTTTTCCGGAAGATGTTATCGATTTCTTCAAGTGATCGCAGCGCGGTTTCGGGGTATATGAAGTAGATGACCGGGAATATGAAGGCGTTGATGACGGCGAAGATGATGTATGTTTGATAGCCTATCGAGGAGAAGCAGACGGGGGTTATCATTACGACCATGAAATTGAATGCCCAGTTGGCGCTCGTAGAGAGACCGTTTGCTGGTGCGCGAATTTTGAGAGGGACGATTTCCGCGGGGTAGAGCCATGGTATAGCTGGAGAGTGTGTAAGCAGGAGTTTGGGTTGGGAAAGTGGAATACATACCTAGCCAACCAATTGCAAAGAAGGTGTTGAAAACAAATAGCAGGAGAGCAGACAAGATTCCTGGTACTGAACCACCTATGCCGACACCAGATAGGTAGGTCATGGCCGCAAGCAGAGCCATTGAACCCGCCTGACCTGCCGCTCCAAAAAGCATGAGTTGACGACGCCCAAACTTCTCGATAGTATACACAGCGAACCATGAAGCGATGAAGTATTCAGTTCCGTTTGCCGCAGCAAGAATACTAGGGGTGATACCCTCGAGCCCGATATATTGTTTGTAGATGGTAGGTGCGTAGTATGTGATAAGATTGATTCCCGATGCCTGTTGAAATACTTGGTTCACATACCCTAGCACGACACGATGGAAGTTCTTCTCTGGGCCCATGGAGAAAAGATCTCTCCAGCCGTAGGCCTTCATTTCTATGACGGTGTCTTTGATCTCGGCGAATTCTGTTTGTACAATGTGGTCGTCGCTTGGCAGGTCTTCTAAGGCTGCGATCACAGAGAGAGCTTCGTGTTCGTTGCCTTTGAGAATGAGCCACTGCTAAAGTTAGTCGTGAAACAACAACATCCTATACGGTAGCAGTCCGAGAACTCACTCGGGGTGATTCGGGCAATTCCATGATGAAAACCAATAATATAAGCGCGAAGAATATTTGGAACGCGATAGGAAATCGCCATGCCACTGGATTTGGTTCCAAAAACGAGAATGCAAAGTCAATCTATCATATGAATAGCACGATTAGTAGATGTACTCGTAAGGGGATCAGAAAAGACAGGCTCTCTCACCCAATAAGATGTAGCAATGCCGCCAGTGATCATAGCACCTTCGATCATAACCATCTTCCCTCGCTTATGAGATTTGGAAGTCTCCGAGGCCCATGTAGGCACAGTGGAGGTATTCATCCCATTTCCAAAGCCAGTAACAATCCTGCCAATGATCAAGTGTGGAAGACTGTATGCTGAAGTTTGCAACGCTGCGCCCACAACCATAATAGCCGAGCCAAGAAATATCATCTTCCTCCTTCCAAGTATATCACCGATAAATATTGTGAGGATCGCTCCCAGGAAACAACCAATGTTGTAGGAGGCTACTGTGATTCCTTGGATGGTACTGATATGGTTGTAATTGGGGCTGTCCTGGTTGTTGATTGAGTCTATTTCTGGGAATTGTTTTACCTGTAAATGTTAGAGTTGAACGTCGCTTCAAAATACCTGCATTTTGCAACTTACCCAACTTCCGAGTGTCAACAGTCCTCCCATCACACCTTGATCATATCCAAAGAGACTGTTGTCTGTTAGCGAATGAGACTGAACAAAGTTTCATGTTTCTTCCTCACAAGAAATCCACGCCAGCAATTATGCCGACGGCGAGATTCAATCTCTGGCCTCTGAGGCCAAAGTACCTCGAGGAGCCAAACATAGTTCGTCAATTTGGTACGCCTTTTTCTCTTGATATGAAAGATTGCAACAAGGAATTTTGCAGCCTAAAGTAATGGTCAAGCACGTAGAGGAAGAAGCTGAGCACTCCTCGGCCTTTTCTCAGGAAAGCCGAGCTTAAGTACAAAGATCGTGAAATTATTCCAGGAACACATCTTTTGCATATCCTGCAGTTGAATGCAGATCTGACGAAATCCGATCTAGTGTATCGTGTCACTTGATGAACATGAGCGAATAAGAGGCCAGAACCACCTTACTAAACCACGAATCTCGAATTACCAACATTGATGTGCAGAGGCTGATAAACCTCGGTATGGTTACTGTGAAGCGAGAAAGAAATTTGACTTGGAAGGGGGAGTTTCGTATTGGAAAAGGCAGGATTACCGAGTTTTGAGAGTGGGATGTGGGGATGCGGGGGGCATTTGGGGGTGGACGCGGGGGGTTCCCCCAGACAATTGTACTTGGAACCATGGATTAATGTTACGACTTCCTGGACAACATCATCCTTCGGCGCATTGAGTTGTTGAAAAGACCCGCAATAAGTGGTTCGCACATCGAAATGGCTCGTCATATGCATGATGAGTGGTATGGATGTTGCTTTGGTGGGCGGCAACCTGGGGTTCATGTTCTCTGTCGCTTTCTGTATCTCCATTTTTTGTACTAAAGTAATTCTGACTGCAGGTTTGGATGAGATGACTGCAACTGGCGGTCTGGAAATATACGATGGACCTACGAGTAACCGGCAAGAGAGGAGATAAATTATCAACAATGTACAGTAGAGATGATATCGTTGATTCTTCTGCTTCACCAAGTAATGTTGCTCAAGAATCTTTTTCTGAACATAGACCTATAAATTCAAAATACTCGACGACTTGTAACCTGAAATCTGGAGTGACGGCGTTAGTCCGGGAATACTTGAACAGGAAACTCATATGACTTAGGCCCATAGCATATCCACAAGGAAGTACAGTCATTTGAACAAATATGTGCCCTTAACATTCGTGAAAACGGGTTCTCTTTTGGCGTTAACTTCATTATTGAATCTTTTTTGCCGTAAGACATGTAAATATAAAGTGTTCTTAAGCCCAATTATGGTATGGAGTCTCTGAGAGAGGATTAGGCGATTGTTTTCTCCTGGGGACCATGCGAAAATCAATACGTTCGTACTTGGTAAAAACTGCCCCGCCACGCCCACATCAACTGTCATCGCAATAATGTATGGGCCAGGCTCGTATTGACGCTCTACTAGAACTGTTTAATCTAAAGTCCTGGGTGGGATTGGCTGACGTGAAAATTAATCATATAATTTTGTTAGATACAATAATAATGAACGAAATAGAAGAATAGAACATGAAGATTCACGAACTCTTATGAAATAAACAAATGATTTTCCGGGTCGCTAATAAGTTACTGCAACATATGAGAAAGGATACGGGTATCTGATATGACTCCGTCACTTTAAACAAAGCAACAAGCATAGAATAGAGAATTTTGAACTTGCAGGCAGAAATTGCAACGCTGTTGTATAATAAAGAATCATCGCCTAAACGACTTCAATGCGTTTGCAAAATGTGCAACATTTCACCACCGCTAGATGGCAAACAAAGAGTTCAAACAGAAGTGAGGTCGCTTTACACGTCAAGATATGCTCACTGTTCAGTTGTGATACCCTCCCATGCCTCCCTACAGAACCCAATTTGAAGACATTGAAATCCGAACGTGGAATGGCAACGCGACGTAGCCCTCGCTCTAGGCCGCTCCACCAACTTCTTTTTGAAAATCATCGTCGTCGCAATTTCAGTTTGTCCCGAGGATACGCAGATTTGAAGGTTTTACACCAATGAAAGTGGATCAACAAAATGCTTCCGAGATTCAAATATGGCTCAGCTCGCTAGCGCCACCTATACGTCAGCGTGCGTCCACCCCCAAAACCCTGAAATCACAACTCAAATTCACCTCATCCAATCACAGATGCTCATTTGTCGCCAATATTTTCCTTGCTGCTGAGGTGACGAAAGGGTGTTTGCGACTGCCTATTGAGAATATCAAGATTTGGTGGTGTGACTGCTGTATTGTGATGAGTTCAGCCACTACAACTTGGCCACGAACGAGTGGACGAGTGGTGTTATGTCATAAAGCGGTTGACGAATCAAAAGGCAATACCAGACTTGGTTCCTTGCGTTTCCCTGTTTTTGCATCGATTTTTGAGCTCCAGACAACGCAATAAAATTCCACATTCAAGGGCTGAGAAAAGCTGGATATATCTTGCATCTTCCCAAACATAAACTCAAATTTGTCCACCAAAAGCGCGGAGTAATCACCAACAGGATCAACCCTCATCCTCTGATAACATCGCCGCAAGTCAACAACAACTCTCAATTTCCAAAACAGGCAATCATCTCAAAAATGAAGACCGGATTCTTTCACCATATCGGCACATTCTTGCTGTTTGCTGCCACTATTCTCCTCTTAATTACCTCAATCTCAGCGCCAGTCATCAACTCGATCGCGCTATTGAGAGTGAGACTTGATAATGGAGGATTGGTTGAGTTTGGTAGTTGGGGTTATTGCTTGCAAGGCTCGGACGACTCGTATGTTTTTTTCTGGTTCCTATCATGAATTTCACAGGAAAGCTAACAACTCAAACAGATTTAGAGCAAGGTTCAATTTCAATGACGGAGATCAATGCACAGGAAAGCACATTGGTTATAACCCAGCTGAATTTGTGCAATCTCTCGACAACACCCAATACAACAGAGCCCAGATCGATACTACAAAAGCACTTACACGCGTGATGGTTCTCCACCCAGTCGCATGCGCTCTTGCATTCATCGCCTTCCTCTTCGCAGCAGGCTCTGGCTTTTGCGGAGCAATCTTTGGTGCTGTCACCGCGACAGTTGCCTGGATCGTTACACTTGTGGTGATGGCCACTGATTTTGTCTTGTTTGGAATTATCAAGAACCACATCAACGACGATGGCAGCGGAAGTCACGCATACTTCCATACTGCCATGTGGACCCTCTTGGCTGCATTCATCTGTCTATTCTTCGGAACACTCATCGTCTTCTTCACATGCTGTTCTTCGAGAATGCACAGACAAAACCATGTCGCAGTAAAGCATGAGACAGGGTACGCACACGGTACACCGGTACGAAAGAGACATTTCTGGCAACGCCGAACTACCAGATACTAGATGCTTCGTCGACGAGAAGAAGGCGGGAAACGAGGAGAACTTGACAAAGACACGCACCAGGCATGAGTGTGAATGTGAGAGTGGGGTTAATATTGGGGAATGGACTTGTACAATTCAAAAATGACTGGTGTTGAACCGGAGCGGGAATGCGTGTTTTTACGAGATACCATGGATTTCCTTTTTACTTAATGTTTTTTACTGCTAGCGCTATGATACCAACTGAGCACTTAATTCCAAACAAAATTCAAACAACAAGGCTTGCAACTCGCATGAATTTGTCAAACAGATGAAATATTAGCAATTGTTAGTGTTGACATCCTATGTTTTCATCATACCAACAATTCTCGAATAGTACATGACCATAATCCGAAAGTTGTTCGCACAATGAATGAATAGATGTTCCCAACTTCTCCCTAACCTTACATAAGGTTGTGAGCAGTAGAGTTCCGACCCTATTCATTTAAACCTCTTCGTAGACTTTGCAAGGCACAGTGTGCTTGAAATATAACAAGAGTCTGGACAAAGAATTTGGCAAGAAAGAACCTCGATGGGCCGTCGTCTCCAGCTGATACTTGTAGCTTCTCAGACCGAGAACTCGATGACGCGAACAATGTTTCGTTAGACTTGGTATGTGTATGTTTGGCAAGATCGCAAAACACAAGAAAACTTTATGGAGCCATCAATAGCATATGGACTGAAAATATGTATCAACCAAAAATTAGACAAACTCACATCTTTCATACATTCAAGGTTGAATTTTGTGTTGTGAATAAGGTTGATCATTGCCAAAATGCTCGTCGAGCACAGCCCCAATTTAGCCGAGGCTTTGGGTTCCGACTCCAAGGATAATTTCTCGGCCAATCACGTTCTTTATGCCAGTTGCCCGCCCAATTTTGGTAAGGCGCCACGATCTACGGGTGGAAGGCTGCCCTTCGCTCGAGGCTCTGTTGAATTCCAGCCTTACTGCCCAAAGACGAACCTACTCCTCATCGTCAACACCACCCACCCTGCCTCAATCATCGCAACAATACTATCGCCGTGGTTATATACGCCGTTCGATCGCTAGCTCCTGACAATTAATTGCACTGTCATGGAGCCTTCGAGTAAGAAGCGCCGCCTTGCGCCTAAAGTTGCCGAAAAACCACTGCATGAGCAGGTAAGGCGGACGATAAAGAATGTCATGAATCTCTATGGAACACTCACTAACCGAATTTCCAGTCGCCGCAGATGCGATACGACTACAAGGCTATGCCTCCAGTCCAAGATGCAGCCCCTCCCCCAGAGCGCACCGACTTCGAGTCCTTTGCGCGACATTTGCAAGATGCCGCAATGCTCATCTATGCCCAAGCCAATCGCTCGCCATACACAAGCGCCTCCGTTCTTCTTCTTCGCTGGGAAGATGACTTGAGTGCGGAACCAGATCTTGCGTCGTTGGAAAAGGCATTTCGCGAGATATTCAACTATCGGACAGAAACATGGAGCATTCCAAGCTGCCCTAACCCAAGCGTCAAATTGTCCATGCAAATGGCACAGCACATTGAATTTGCTCGTTCTGATCACCTCTTGATTGTCTACTATGCCGGTCATAGCTTTATTGGCACAGATCACAATCTCTACTGGGCATGGTATGAATGAAAATACACAGCCTCGTTGGGGTAAAGCTAATTTGTAACAGCAACCTTCGTGAAGATTCCTCTAGATTGAAGTGGGAAGGTGTCAGGTGCCTCCTAGAGGATGCCCAGTCTGATATCTTGCTCTTGCTGGATACTTGCGCTGTTGCGGATGCTCCTACGGCTGGAAATCATGGCGTTAAGCAGGTAATCGCTGCTTATACTCCCGATCAAGTTGGACGGGATGTCGGCCCACTTTCTTTCACTGCCAATCTGGTTGATAGTCTCAAAAGACTTGGAAGTGGCCGTCCTTTCAGTATACAACGTCTACATGAAGAGATCATCGCACAGAAGCACAATAATATTCTCATTCACCAATCCCCTCTGGCCAATGGCTCCAGTAAACCTACATCCGCCCATGAGCGTATGCCAGTATGCTTCTCATTAACACCTGGCTCACTTCAGAGCATCACGCTCTCCCCAATTGGTATGCAGCAAGGCATGGCTGGAGGATCTGGCATGTCACCAATGGGCTCCCCCGAAAATGATCTTCAATTAGGACCAAACAGTCTCGGTGGCCAGCATGGGATCAAGGTTAACTCAAATTCAGATCTCGCGTTTGAGGAAATGCGCGCTCTAGTTTGCACAACTTTCCTGGGTGAACCGAGTCAGGACATGGCTTCCTTTAAGCAATGGTTACATAACACTCCAATGGCAGCTTCCAAGATTGCTGTTGAGGGTATGTTCCATGGCCCTCCAACCGTTCTCCTTGTTTCCATGCCTATCGCAGTCTGGAATGTTGTTGCTGCTGATAGAACTTGCGCTTTCCTGGGCTACGTAAACTCACATAACATGGCAACCGAATATCAGCATCTTGTTGGTGGAATCTCGCCGATTGGCAAAGCAGCAACATATAGAGAGCTTGAGGATGGCAAAATTCTTCTTGAGGCTCGTGAGGTAGCATCCACAACGCCAGTCATGATACGTCACGACATAATGCGTCCAGAACCTGCAAGACCAATGGGTACGCCAAGTACAGTGAACCCAACTATCTATCCAGAACCCAGTTCCTCCTCAGCTATAGTGGAACCAAAAGAAAATGTCGAGGATTCGGTTGAGATGCACGAGGCGGCGGAGCAGCTTAAGGCCCTTAGTCACGTTCGCCATGTCAGTCACGATAATCTTGCTAATGACCGAAATCATTCTCACTTACCTTCAGAGGACTCGCCTGGCTTGAGAAGTGCCCGCGAAGAATCTGCGTCCTCCCAAGAACAAGTAGACTCCGGTACCGAAGAACCATTGTACAATTCTGAATTTAATTCTCCGGCCTCAAGGCCAAAACCACGAAGATCCATACAAAAGCAAGGCCCAAAACAAGACACACGGTGTACACTGTGTAGCCATGCACCCTTCAAAGACTCGTCGTCATTACGAAAACATATCGCCGCGGCTCACACCAGACCGTTTCCTTGCGCCTTTTCCTTTGCGGGCTGCACTAGTACATTTGGTTCCAAGAACGAATGGAAACGACATATTGCCTCTCAGCATCTCTGCTTGACTTATTACCGATGCTCCTCCTGTCCTCAGAGCTCGGTGGAAGGGAAGGGCAACGAGTTCAATCGAAAAGATCTCTTTACTCAACATCTCCGAAGAATGCATGCCCCATTTGCTATCAAGAAAGCTATTGCAAAAGGCGACAGTAAGCTGCAACTAGAATGGGAATCCCATGTAAAGGAAATGCAAGCATCATGTTTAGTTATTCGGCGTCAGCCACCCCAACGCTCTGCCTGCCCCAAACCTGATTGCGCAAACGTTTTTGAGGGCGCAGGAAGTTGGGACGACTGGACTGAGCATGTTGGTAGACATATGGAAAAGGGAGAGGCTGGTCGACTTGGTGTAGACAGACTCCTTGCACGTTGGGCTCTTGAGCAGAATATCATCGAACGAAAGGAAGATGGTGAATACAGACTCATTGGCACCGAGCGCGAAGGAAATGCCGGAGGCTACTATTCCGACGGCAATGGCGTGAGTAAAAAGGAAATGGATGAGAAAGGTGACAATGAGGGTATGATTCTTGATGCATAATGGTTTTTAGGATATTTATTGAAAGTTACATGGTAAATGGGTTAAAAGAATTGGCGCAGGGCATACCATAGGGAGGGGTTGGTTTGGTTGATTTGGTGGATTCTAGCTTACTTGCCCCTTTTTTATTTTTTTCCTTCTTGGAAGCCCCTCGGGTCTGGAGTACAAAGTCTTCTTCTTTTTTCGCTAGGTTTCCTTTTTCTTCGCTATTTGCGTAGCAATGAGTAAGGTTTACTCACTGCCTCTGGTTCTCCGTTTACTTTTTTTCCGTTGCTTTCTTTTCTAATGCATTCGTTGTGCTATCCTAGTTTTTATTATGTAGCCTTTCTTCTCGAATTAAATACGTGATTCCAATGTTTTCTCTGGTTTTATCTGTAGAGTTGTTGTTTGTGTACCAAAACGATACTATACTGGTTTCCAGCCCAGCATCTTGATAAATACTACCCCGTCACCCCGTGAGTGACCCTAGTTGTTTGCGAGGTCGTGGGATTGTGTATATTTGACATTAGCTAGGCTATGAGGAACTTGCTTATGGCTAAGTAAGGAGCGCGTCTGTTTTTCTCTACTATGGAGGTATGTGTTGGTAGTATGGATCGCGGCGCCTGTCTTATGGCACTTCTGGGATTTGTGGTTCTAGGGAAGGAAAAAGGGGGGGTGG